TCTAAAAATCTCTAGACTAGCTCTTGAAAATTGAAATAGATATAGACCCAAAAATTTGCTCCTATGTGTGTGTGTGTGTGTGTGTGTGTGTGTGTGTGTGTGTGTGTGTGTGTGTGTGTGTGTGTGTGTGTGTGTGTGTGTGTGTGCGTTTGTTTTTCGGGCTTTATTTCAGCCTTTATTCAGTAACAGTTCAAAGTATACAAAAATAGAAACACAGGATCCTTTCACTCCAGAGCTCATGAGTCGTTCCTCTCTTTCAGTTTCACTCATCCATTCAATTCCTGTGTTCTCTCCCGCAATTCATCCCCGTCCGCATGACTTTCACACCCCACCCCCTCCCTCCAGGCACACACAAAGAAAATCTCACTCATTCCCTTGCACCCTGCGAACCATGGACAATAATATAGGCAAGATAAAACGGATAAAACACTGCCTTAGTGCCCTTAACCACATTCCTTTCGTTCGTGAGCTGTGGGCCAGGCCGGGAGGGGGGGGGGGGTCGGTGTCGTCGTCTTGTAGTAGTAGTTGCTGTCGCCTGTGGACACGCTCGTACATTCTTCATTTCACCCACTCTTTCACTCACACTGTCTCTCCATCCACAGCTAAGCTCGTCATACATTCAAAAGTTGCCCACTGATCATGTTTAGTTAGTGTGTGTATAAGTTTGTGTGTGTACACATGTGCATGATGGTGGTGGGTGAGCCGTGGGTGTTACTGAAGGGTGTATGTAGGCAGGCTTGCCATGCGGTGTTCCTTCACAGACCAGAGGCAGAATGAAAGTTGGCGCCGAACTCTCGCAATAAATAGGCAAAAAATCATGAGACCGGAAGCCGGAAACCGTTCGGAGAAATAAAGATCGACACTATTTCTCCGAACGTTCGGAGAAATAGTCACTTCGTAATATTCGATAATACAGTAGTCTCCGCCTAAGATCCCACCGCTTACAATCCCGGTTCGCTTAAGATCCCGCTGTTTTAAGAAAACAGAATTTTTACTATACAAAAGTCACCCCTAAGATCCTGCTCTGATTCACTCTGAAGGTCTACATTCGGCTAAGATCCCGCATTTCAGATCATAATTTGCAGAAAAAACCCCGGGCGGAACAGCCGATCAACCAAGAGTGAAAAGTTGAGATCAATAAACTGTCCGTTGCGTCAAAGATCAGCCACTATCGTGAATGTGATCACATACACGTTGTAAAACTCGATGAAGTGATACAATGTTTGCCCCAGACGGGATCACACCGGGGTGTGAACTGACCGACACGTTTGTTTTCCCCGAACATCTCACTCACACCTGAGCTATCCCCCTAAACTTACATCACTCGCTGGGTGGGTAGGGCCTACACGTTCGCTCCTGGCGGGATCACATTGAACCGTGACCTCTTCCCTGACCATTGGAGAAGTTGTTTCTACTCCCGAATTTGCGAGACAGACTGAATTTTAATTGGTGTGTTCACAACGTAATAGTGTGTACGACAAAAGCGGTTGGGGGAGATGGAAAGCTATACATTTTCGACAGGTAAGGGGAAGGGGAGGGGCAACTTGATAAGCGTAGATCTTGAGCCTCATGATAGGATAATAAGTGAAAATGGCACGCCTCATCCCACTATGCCCTGTGATAGGTCATCAAGGTTAACCACTCTTTGCTCGCCATACGTCATAAACCCACCAAGCGGTCACGTCAGTTCATTTTAGAGTGGAGGGAGACCATTTTACCGATTGTAAGCCTTAACATGGGTCACCATAGATTCTTCCCTGGGTTCGTCGTTTAAGATCCCGGTTCGCCTAAGATCCCGCTTTTCCTTGCTCCCGAGCACCGGGATCTTAGGCGGAGACTACTGTATAATACAATAAACTTTAAAAGACATAACAACATAAGTAAGTCAATATAAGATCTAGATCTATATAGATCTATATCTAGATCTAGATCTAGACTAAATCTAGATTCTAGATCTAGAATCTAAATCTAGAGCTAGAATTATAATAATATATATAAAAAATCTAGATATAGAAATCCAGATCTATCTAGATCTAGATCTAGATCTAAATATCTAGATTCTAGCTAGATCAGGGCCTATACTATAATATAGAGTCTAGATAAAGCAAAGATAAACTTGTACTAGATTCTATATCTGGCAAAGCACCAGATTCAGTAACTCTCAGGACGTAATAAAGTAAGATTTTAAAAAAGCGGAAGCGAGCGACCACCCCATCAAACACAATAAAGAAGAGGCCTAACCCTACTAACTTAACTAACTAGGCTAACCCCAAACCCTAACCTAACCCGTACCCTAACCCTACCCCTAGATTTCTAGATCTACCCCTACCCCTAGCCCTCAATTCTTCTCTGTCTCATAGTGGTCGCTCGTTACGGAAGTCCTCCCAAAAATGCAGATCTAGCTTACTTTATTATTTAAGACCGGATTCGTATCCTTCGTCCTGCAGGTATTGTTGTGAGACATTTTTCAGCTGGGGTAGGTTCACAGCAAGCGTCCCAAACAACGGAAGTTAAAAAAAAACAACCTTACCTCTGTTCACAAAAGAGCTACATTACAAACGTATACAATAGGTTTCAGAATATTATTGTTATTAATTACTATTAGATTAGGTCCTACTGATACATTTGTACATGCACATATTGTGCTGTTGCATGTTTAATAATAATAATAATAATAATAATAGTAACAAT